TTTTGTCCAAACTAATAGTCATGGAAATAAAAATGTTAGAAAGTTAATTTTCGTGTTCCGTTACATGTGTGAGCCACTGTACGTACGCTGCACCATACTATTGAAAATATTTATACTATACGAAATATTTCTAGTATTTAATCAAAAATTTTTCTTATTTCCCTTTCAGAGAAATAAAATCATCATCAATGCATTACGTTCATGACAAAACATTTATTATTAACATAATCGTTTGCCTTTACTGTAAGTACGTGTAATTCATTTACCAGACTTGCGAAATATTAATTTCCGAGTCGTCGCACCATATACATGTAGATCGGAAGATTGTTTCAATATACGTAACAATTTCATTATAGAAAACACCATATTATTACAGAACTGAGACACTATTTGTTTATCGACTTTTAGTATTTGATATATAACATGCATATTTTGTAAGCCACTGCAAAATTCTTGAACTTTATCAACATTTTGCTTGGAACCATAATCAAAACTGCTTATAAAGAATGCTGATTATAAAGAAAATTTCGATATAAGAAGTTTGAATTTTGCTCGTTATAAAATATAGTAAATCTTGATATAACGAAGGTTCAAAAATTTTTATTAGTAGCCCGGCCGGCCATACTCCAAATTATTTGAGATTTATCATATCAAAAGTAGATGCAGTTTCTTGTCCATAAGGAGTCAATATTGCTCGAATTCCTCTAAATTTATTATTGATTTTGAATTTCTGGTGTATTATTATCACCATACCTTTATAAGCACCTCACATACAATCTAAATACATCACTTTATAATCACATTATTGAAAATAATTCAGATATGACCAACTGGTGATTAACCGAATAACAAATTGTTTATTTATAAACTTATAGAAAAATAACTACGAATGCATTTAAACAAAAAAAATGGTAAATTAAACTGACTATTACTTATGTAATTACTATTCCTGTCATAACAATTAAGAATAACATAAACTATTGTTTCATTATAAGAAAATAAGAAAAAAGAAGTGAATTTAGTTTTAGTCTGAAAATTCGAAAAATATTTTACCAGTCATTTGATAGAAAAGATAAAAATAAAATTTAAAAAGTAATATAAATTAAAAAATACTATTAGTAAGCAAATATAACTTTAGAAATAATACTTGGAAATGAATTATTTTTTGTAGGATTCAATAATGTTAAATAGATAAATTAATTATTTATAAAGCATAATTGAGCCTTGCTATTTCAAGTTAAAAAAAAAGTAAAATAATTAACTACAGTTGAGAATAAATTTCTTCAAAATTGAAAGATTCAACAATTTCGGGAGCTCGATCGTGTCCGTTTTCTTTAGCTTTTTGATACCACTTTAATGCTAAGTCAAGATTTTTTGAAACACTTATTCCATGTTGATAGAATTTTCCAAGGTTAAATTGAGCTTTATTATGTCCGGACTCTGCGGCTCTTAAATACCAATTAAATGCTTTAGTATCATCTTTGTTTGTCCCTTCTCCATATTCATAACATTGACCAAGTCGAAAATAAAAGAATGAATTACCATTTTTAGACGATGATAAAAGCAATTTAAATAAATTATTTTCTAATTCTTTTGAAATTAAATTTCTTTCATAACTAAATCTAAATAAAAATTGGCTTTTCTCACAACCAGAATTAGCAGATTTTAAAAATAAGTCTAATGCTTTGCCTTCATCTTTGGTTGTTCCTATTCCACCTGTATAATTAATAGCAGCCATAAATTGTGCATTAAGATGTCCTGACTCTGCTGCTTTCAAATACCACTCGAATGCTTTTTGTTTATCTTTGATTATTCCTTTTCCAGTTGCATAATAGACAGCAACATTAAATTGTGCTTGAGGAGCTCCTGAACTTGCTGCTTTCAAATACCACTCGAATGCTTTTTGTTCATCTTGGATTGTTCCTTTTCCAGTTGCATAATAGACAGCAACAATAAATTGTGCATTAAGATGTCCAGACTCTGCTGCTTTCAAATACCACTCGAATGCTTTTTGTTCATCTTTGATTGTTCCTTTTCCATTTTCATAATAGACAGCAATAATAAATTGTGCATTAAGATGTCCTGACTCTGCTGCTTTCAAATACCACTCGAATGCTTTTTGTTCATCTTTTTTTATCCAGTCCTCGTCGCTGTATAATACTCCAATTAAATATTGTGCCACAGCATCTGCTGATTGTTGATAATATTGTAAAGCTTGATCATAATCTTTGTCAACTCTAACACCAAAGTGATAAACAAAGCCTCGGATTTTTCTATATAGTATGTTATTTTGTAAACTTTGTAAAAATTTTATTTTATCAGAGGGTATTTGGAATTTTTCAAAAATAATTTTTAAAAAATTTTCTATATTTTCTTCGACATTTTCATTATATTTATAAATATTCTCAAAGAGAATTAATAAATCATCCATTGTAGTTTCATTTAATATTTCTATGTCAATTTGTTGCTGCTGGTTCATAATTTGAGTGGATGTTTCTAAATTACTTTCTATTTGATCCGAATAAGTTGCTACAGATAAATTAGAGTTGTTTTCATTTGTATTTAAATCTACATCTGTCGCTGGAATAGATGAAGATATTAAAGTCCAGTCCATTTGATAATTTATGACTTCATCAACATTTGCTCTAGCTCTTTTTTTTGACCTGTTCTCATTATTTCTACTTTCGGCCATCATTTGTTGTGGATTCTCTTCGGATTCAGTTGTTTGTTTTCTCTTATTTTTTGCTAAACTATTATTCTCGACAAGCTCGATTTTTTTCACTTCTTTTGAATTTGATAAATCAGCATCGTCATTTATTGTTGAAACCGCATCTGTTTTTTTGATTTCTTCGATCATGTACGTATCAGACATTTTAACAGATACATGTATAATCGTTACGAAACTACGTTCGTACATGTGCTTCTGATTTTCACATAAAGAAACCTTTTTTAGTTAGACTGCTCTGAGCGTTTGCGTTAGTACATGTACATGTATTGAAGTTTATCGTTATCGTTATACATGTACAACTCATTCTCGATATAGTCGATATAGTAGATTTTTTAGTAAACTTCAACTCGATATCGATATAGTGAAGTTATATACAAGTAATATTCTCTCGATATAAACTATATGAAGATTTTTTTCCCTTACCCGATGTCTTCACTATAACGATAACGAGGTTTGAGTGTAGCACAATTTTGACATCAGGTAGATAACAATTACACTATCTGAATTTTTATCACTAATAATTGATGGATGAGCCTTGAAATGAGTTAACAAATTGTAGATTTTTCTTAATTTAAAATTTTCGTTGTTAATTTACCTTAAAAACAAACGAGTTGTTAATTCATAAATACTAGTAAGTAGTTCAACTTTGAAAAAATATAATGCACATATCTTGTGAAAACCAAATAAACTAAAATTGTTAAGATAAATTAATTATGCAAATTTGGCAAATTGACAAATTATCTTTAAACAAAGTGAATAATAAAATCAGCAAAAAATTTGCATTACATTATTACAACTTTTTCATAACATGCACATACCCCAATTTAAAAATACTGCCAAGGAAAGGGTACATCAAGCTCTCCGTTACGATGAAATCTATCTCTTAATGCAAGCATCATTATTTGATAAAGACTTGAATTAGTTTTTCTTTAAATTCAAAATACATGTATATAAAAAGTTATAAGCATTAAATTTTATTAATTGCTATTAGTATATGGAACAATATTCATATTCTGTTTGGTTGTAAGAGTTGAGTACAAATTATGTGTAGTTTGTTATAAATTACTGCAATTTTATTGGTTCTTAACTTTGAGCTATAACGATAAGATTAAAATTTGTTATAATAATTTTATTTGTTCCGACCCTAAAATTATAAGATCAGATGCATATTTAAAATTTTATGCTATACCGATACGTACACACATGTATTATAACTCGATATAGTCACACCTCGTTTATGTCACTATTTTTCAGCTATTACATGTACATGTATAATGTATAAGAAATATAGTCACACCTTATAGTCACACCTTATAGTCATACCTTATAGTCACCAGATTTCTGTTTCCCGGTGATTACGATGAGGTACGATTGTATTCATTTGCCTTTGGTGAGTGAATTATGGTTAAATTTAATAAGAATTTCAACTAAGATATATTTGATAAAGTGTGAAGTTTGAAATGTATTCTTCTAAATATGATAAATAGTTTTGATAAGTTTCTAATTTATGTCTTCAGAATGTTTCTCGTCACTTAATCAAAGACTCTTTAACGTTAAGGCTACAATCTAATCTTCGTTTTTACCTTGGCTCCGTAAGCTCACCAAACGCTCCATATATATGTCCAAATAATTTTTTTATCGGGAAAATCACTAAAATCGAAAAATTTATTAATTTTTCTCTTATTGCGAATCGAATTGCACCTAATTCAAATGAAATTTAAAATATTTATTAATTTGTGTTCTTTCAACTTTCTCAAAACGAATACCGAACTCATATCGAGCTGTCTCATCGCCGCCCAACGCTGATTCAAAATACATGTACCACACAAAGTTTTACAAAGTTCCACAGACAACTTCGTAGCATACACCAAAATCATACTGGGTTGTCGTGACACCACTTTCGGTAAACATTCGGTAACAATATTTGTCTTGAACTGTTCCTTTACCGACGCAAAATTTGTTGGATACATTACCGCAATTCGCGCACTAACTCATTTAACTTATTCATTCACGTTGCACTGAAATTTCCTTATTTGAGATATCTATTCATTCAAATGGTCATTTACACTTCGTATTGAATGTATCCTACGGCGTTTATTTAAAAGGAATGACCGCTTTTCGCTGATCAAGAGTCTTTGTCGTAATTTTCCAGCCTTCCATATGACATTTCCAAGAAAAAATTGTGCATAGGCATCACCACAATCCGCCGATGTTGTTAATAATTAAACATTATCTAACAAACTTCTGTGATTGTGAAGAAAACTGATATTTGTAAATTGTTTTGATTTTGACAAGTCAAGTTTTCTGTCAGTAATTTGTTGATTTTGAATTCATCTAAGGTTACGATGGTAAATGTGGTGATATCTATTTCCAAAGTTTTTTTTTATAATGGCTGAATTTATTACTCTGTTGAAGCAAAAAAAAAACTTGTTTATCTTGTAGAGTAATATTATCCAGACTTTGCGAGTTTATAATCAATACAACCATTGACAACAATAACAGCAGCAACGATAAACTAACAATACATGTACTAATAACAATAAATATAATACAGCAATAACAATCAAACTCTCCGAAATTCTACGTTAGTATTAGTTCTAAAAATCATACAATACAATTAACTGCCACATTATATATGCAGCCTAACGTCACGCTGCTCAGGGTTTGAGTTTGCTATCCTCGCTCTTACACTAATGCAACTTTCAATCAATCTACAAGCGTTTTATACAATACATATGAAATACCAAATATCAATACGTAGTTACAAATAATGCACTCGAACAAATTGGATTATTGGATTTTTGACTCGTGGAATTCTTTAACTACGTAACAGGGTTATTCAACATCATCATCATTACTATTGGCGAGCGAAAGTAATTTAGTGATTATTAGTTTGGCAAAGAACAATTTTGAATTTTGACTCGTAAAAGTCGAATATATTATTGGCATTATTCACAATATTTTTGTTGAGACTAAGTTGTAAGCTTGAATTAAAAGCCAATGAATCTAATTTTGAGTACGCAGAAATTCGAAAAAAGAAAGTAATGAGCATATCCAATAAGATCGGGTATACAGAGTATGATGATAATGTATATATTTATCACCTGTATGACTATACTATACTCTATAATCTGAACCATGCTTACTGTATAGAATACCATACCCTGGGTCTAAATCAATTCTAGTAAGATAAATACTTGGGTACTAATTATGGTTTAAGAATTTTGATTGGCCGAAAGAGTCAGGGCGATCAGGAACATAACATCCAGGTCTTTTTTAAATATGTTTTATAGTTGCTCCCGCTGGCTACCAAACCACTCATTAAGATTGGTTCAGGACGAATAAACATTGCTAACTCGTAAGCTAACGCCATTATCATGGTGGCACACAAAAAGACATTCGAAGAAATAGCATACAAAGCCGGAGCGAGAGGGTATGTAAATGGGGTACTTTATCAAGGGGTATTCTATACAGTAACCCTTTTCAAGGTTATACTATACTGATTATTGTTAACGTTAAACACTATAATCTTCAAATCGCAGTTCATAATGAGCCACGATTAACATAGCGAAAGCGGTATTTTCAGCCACAATTATAGAACAAATACCATTACATCATACGTATACTGATATATACAAAATTGTGCAAAATTACATCTGATATTGCAGTCAGGGTTCGCTTTACCGATAAGTCGGTAAACAAATTTCAAGCTATCGTTAAATGCTAAATTCAGAGACATCGCTAAATTAAACGCGATTGCTATATAGTAGTCTGGAGACAAGAGACTGTATTTAAGAAAAATGGACGACTACGAGCAAATAAATTTCTAACTCTGTTCAAAGGCATCTATTCTCAAAATAAGGAAAAATTATGCAAGCTTAATACCTGACAATATTAAAAACAAATTGGAAGATTATTAAGAAAATTAATTATTAACACTGCTCAAAGGACTAAATTCGTTACGTATCCAGGTATATTTCGGGTTCCTCTCATGAATCTGAAAATTTGCGAAAAACTAACGTCAGCACTTTGCATTTAGTTCTCGTTCTGCTGGTAAGAAATTTGCAATCTATAAGTAATGGGATAATTTTCTTTGTGAATATACATCAAGATACACCTCCATTTTTTATCTATCCCTCTCGTCACACTGTATCTGGAGGTCCAAATCAATTTCTGGGAGGTGTGCTTGATTAGTATCCAGGGTACTCAATGCAGTGTTATACGTAAATGTTTTGACATAAAGATCATATATTGCGTTATTCACCCAAATCCAGTGATAGTTTAGGATTCTCATAGAAACAAATACATATGGTTGCGTAGCTGAACAAGATGTCGTTCTAACATATATAATGATTATATTCAACATCCCCACGTTGTTAGAAGATATCTTTTTCCAAGTAGTAATAGAAGTAATCAGAAGTCTGATGAAAGATCGATGTATTTCCTTAGTAAAGCCATTCAGTAGAATTATCTATTATAATTTAATAAATATTCTTGTGGATTAGATTATAAATGTACACTTTCCTTGCTGTATTATTCGCTATGTATCAGATGCCGTGTTGCATATATTAAGTAAGGTTACAAAATGGGAAAGGCCGCAGCCATAATCGAAATGCTATTACTCATTTTCCTTTTTTATTGTAAAGCATAATACGTATTATAAGTTATAAGATAATTTTGCCCACGATAGTCCTATGTTATTATCTCACTTTTAGCCATCACGAAAAACCACAAGAAAAAATTTAGAAGAGTAGAGAAACGTCTACCTACTAAAAAAACAAAAGCGACTACTCATAATTACAAGAAAGCAGCGTCTGTATTTGCGTCTTTTGTGTAATGGAGGAAATGATATCAGCTCGAGATATAACAAAAGAAAGGAACCAGAAGAGGTTCCACAGTGACTATCTACTACTACAACTAAGAATAACTACAAGAATGAACACTAGCCAGACCAGAACATCTACTCCTGTAACTACGTCGCCATTTTCTGCGACTACTTGGGAGCGTCCAGAAGCAGAAAATGAAGAGAGAACGGAATTACTGCTAAGCGGTTAACAATCATCGGGGAGGCTAATAGCAATGAATAGAACAGGTCGCAGAAACGACCTAAATATGATAATATACAACTTCAGATCGTTAATATA